GTAGTAAACCACCGGCTCATGCCCTCGCTAGCTAAAGGCTGCTCTGTTCGACTTTCTCAGAGCTAAGGTTTCGATATCGCAACCACACAACAATGTCGCCAGGACTTGTGATGGGGCGTCGTGGCGTAGAAAGATCTCTCCAGTTCCAAACTCTTAGAGATAGCAGTGAGAAGAGCTGGCCCATCGTTGAGGAATCCCATGCTCGGTCCGCCCATGAATTCTTTCTGGAAGGCTTGGTTTTACGAGTTATCGAGTACTTGACGCAGCGTGGCCTGGAATCAATCGTCAAAAATTCGACTACAGTGCAGTTTCCTCAAGGCCTCGACCAAAGCAGTTGCAACGGGTCGTTGAGCATTCTGGCTATTCTGTTTAGACACAATTTCGCGTATCAGGTACATTTCCAGAGGAAAATATCACGTAAAGAATACAGTCTAGAAACATACAATTTTGTAAAGGTGGCCTTGATTCTCACCCCGTTGCTATGAGGGTTTGGGCGCGTTAGCCTTGAACTACAATGAATATACCTAAAACAGCCACGCAAACCCCTTGCGATAAACCTTGGCCAATACACCCTTCTTCCCAGAAGCAGCCTCCTTTTCTCGCCTCTCGGCCTCGAATGCCTCCTTCTCTTCAGCCACAGTCTCACGCGGCACACCTGTTACCAAATCAGCCGTGGCTGAGCGCACACGGCGGGACCTCTTCATGATTTTGAATCCAAATATGCATGTTAGGTATACGGGGATACCAATGTACTGCACAATGAAGTTCTTATAATCAAAAGTGCCGACAAAGACCTCGACGCCCTTGGTAAGCGTCAGAAGGATGAGGAATCCGACAGCAATGTAGGAACCCCAAACTCCGAAAGGAGCACGGTAGGGAATATATGCCGAATCGATACCTTGGGCTTCGCGAGCGCGGCAAAAGAAAATGTGGGACACCAGAATAGAGATCCAGGTCAGCAAGCCTGAAGAACGTGTTAGTTTGTTTTCTGTGTTTATTTCCGCCACAAAAGCCGACTTACCAAAGACAGTGACGACGTTGGTCAAATAGCCAAACACTGCTGCCGCGCCGGAACTGACAGACATGTACGCCAAGCAGCAAAACGCTCCACACAAGCCTAGCGCCACGTATGGAACGCCAGCTTTCGTGGTCCGCGTAAAGATACGAGGGGCTTTGCCATCAGCAGCAATACCGTACAGCGTGCGGGAAGAGATGTAGATATCGGAGTTGGCAGCAGAGAACACAAAGACGACGAGGCAGCCATTGATGACGTGGTCGAGGCCCTTGATCTTGGCGATAGTGATGGCGACCACGAACGGCGAGGCAGCGGCGCTGGTCTTGGCTGATGCAGCGAAGACGAGTTCAGCGCTGTTGTAAGGGACCACCATTCCCAGCAGGAAGACGGAGATGACATAGAAAAAGACGATACGCATGAATGTTAAGCGGACAGCCTGTGGCATGCTGAGCCGTGGGTGGCTGGCCTCGCCTACCGTCACACCGACAAGCTCGGTTCCTGTGAAAGCGTAGACGGCGGCGACCATGGCGCTCCACACACCGAGAAGACGGCCTTGGGCGCCCTCGACCTTGTATGTAGCAAATGCCCCCGGATCGGACCAGTATCTGAATCCGGGACGGTCGCCAGTGGGTCCTCCGCCAAGGGCCAAGATGAACAGTAGCAGGATAACCCCAACCATGATGACAACCTTCAAAGAAGAAAGCCAGAATTCGAACTCGCCAAAAGCCTTGACGCTGATGCTATTTATCAAGAGAATGAGAACCAGGGCAATTGTGATAAAGACAGCCGGGTTGACGCGTTCACCGACCCAAAACTTCATGATGAGAGCGAAGGCAGAGAGCTGGTTGGGCGTTGCCAAGAGGTACTTGAAGAAGTAGGTATAGCCAGTAGCGAAACCAAGTGCCGGGTCGACAAAACGTGTTGCATAACCACCGAAGCCATGAGATAGAGGCATGTAGGAGATGATCTCGCCTAGGGCGGCCATGACGAGGAAGACGAGACAACCGATGATGGAGTAGTCGATGAGGATTCCTGCCGGGCCTGTCTTGACGAGGGCAGAGCCACTGCCAACTGATTAGTTGAGGCCCACGATCTTCGTGATGGGAAATTCCCCTTACGTTCCAATCAACAATCCTGTTCCCAAAGCGCCGCCAAGCGCAATCATCGTAACATGGCGGGTTTCGAGACGCTTGTGAAGCTCATGGCCGGGCTCTACGTTGAGGTCGTCGACTTGGCCGAACTTGGCACTCTGTTCTAGGGACAGGTTCTCCAAGCCCGACGGGCCCTTCTTCTCGTGGTCCATGATTGTTGTTTCCGAAAGAATGGATAAGGAGCTGAAGATGAGATGTTACGGTTCGTGAGCCTTGAAAAAGGACCGCGAATCATTTGAGTTCAAGGTAATGACTAAGTGGGGGTAATGTGAACTCTCTGGCTCAGCAGAGTTCAAGTGATGGAGCCGACGGCGAAGCCAACGCCGAGAGCCCTATAATATCCAATTCGCGCCAAGGCCAGGCCCTCAGTCAGGCGACTCGAGCCTAAGCATTCCGAACTTGGTCGTCATCTTTACCAGCTCGTGGGTCCGGGGTAGGTGGTCCGGGGGTGGATACCAAAACGGAGGAAAACGCGGGGCGGGAAGTGTTCAGATCCGCTGGCCGCCTGTTTTGATATCTGACAACTGACGGAGAGCACTTCGGCAGCCATGTCCCTATCAGCATTTGCATCTTTTTCTTGAAGGGCGTACGGCGTACTCGTCATTCAGAGCAGATACTGCAGCCCGGCTTCTTGAACTCCAATATTGGTGAACCTTTACTTGCAAGCACACTACTCACGTTTGCAAGGTTTCTCCCAGCAACCTCTACCTGTAAAGTATAACCTACCCGATTGGCCATTTTGATTAGCAAAAAAGTCAAACTATACACGGCGGCTCCCACACTTTCTGCCGAGGCCGCCGCCATCACCTTGCAGACTCTTTAAATAGCCCCAGAAAATTGACGTCGGGCTCAATTACCTACATGTGGCTCTTCATGTGATGAACTTTATGAGAGCGCTCCACTAAAGTCAACTGAGGGCACGATAGAGTCGCTATCCAGCCAGTACCCTGTGAGTTGGTCGTCGTCGAAGCCGGCCAGGCTAGGTTCACAGTCGAGTGAACCTGCGATTGAAAACATTTATTACTCCGATGGCAGGCCTTTGTCTGTGCTACCTGTAGCGGGACGTTGTCCGGCAGATAAGTTTTGGCTTACGACGTCGTTGCGCAACAAGAGCTAGATGTCGTTCTGGTAGCCTCCCATGGCTGTTGGCGGTGCGGGATGCTGGACTTGGTGAAGATGTACCATTTCTTGCAACTTTTCCAGCCCTTCTTCTAGACAGCGAGCTACGATGTTTTCTCGGGCGATCATGGCGTCGAGAATGCTGAACGCTGCCTGCATGTAGCTGCTATCTCGGATTGGAAGACCAGGTACGGCGGCCATCAAGAAGAGCACAGATGCGGCCGAAAAGGTCGGCTCCGAGTCAAATGAGAGTAATGATCATATCCAAGCATTGATTAAAGTTTCAGGCGTTCTTTCCCCTATCTACCAACCCAGAAGATGCTGCCACTGAAACGCTGACAGAATGCGAAGATATTTGCTCATTGAGTCTAAGGAGGTCTTGAACAACACCCCGAAAGGGCTGGCGAGACCTCGATTGGCAATGTCTTGTTGGGAGAGGACAATCATGCAATGGGTTCATCCGGAGTAGGCGTGTCACCAGAACAATACACTGGGATTATTGTCAGAGGTTTCTGGCGACGTGATATGCCGAGATGACAGCTGGTCCAATCTGAATGCTTGGGCATCCAGGTGTAGAGGTATCTTGGGGAACTCAGATCGATCAAGTTGGTTCTGGATCGTGTTAAGAACCTGGCGACTGTGAGCTCAGGTGGACGGAAAGCCGAACCATCTTGTTACAAGAGTAAGAAACGACGAACAAATGATGCGGGCTGCAAAAAAAGCTCATTGCTTCAGCCCATTCCGTCAGTCATGGACGTTGATGGCCTATCTACTAAGGAGTTTCTCAAAGTCGATAGACTTCGATGTTCTTCATAGTTGTCCTCGCCACCATCAGCGGGAGTGTCATCATCTATTACCGTAAGTCAATGTAGTAGAGAGGCCATGTTCATCGTCGAACGGGGCTACTGCTATAGGTTGATTCATACCGGCTGCAAAACATCATGGTAGGTTATTTGGCGCGAGTAAGCAGACCATGACTAGCTACTCACCCTGATAGTCAATATTGTCACCAGAAGTTAATCGACAGCGCCGAGGTCGGTTAGGCGAGAGAGGTTCTCTGCCAACTTCATACCCAGACTTCCGTTTCAGATGGGTCAGAAAAATGGGACGCTATCGACCCAATCGCATTAAATTGCAGAGACCATAACTTTCCAATCATCCCAATTCAAAACGCATTCAAATGACTTGCGCACCCAGCTGCCGCACGGCAACAAACCTGAGCACTTGATCTTGCGCTCACTACGTCGCGCAAATCCATAGCCGCACGCACACGGCTCTTTCCGACTTGAAAAAGTTGGAACCGTCTTTCTCCGCCAACAGCCTGCAAATGATAAACCCTGTTGGCCCGTGGACAATTATTGTTGGCTCGAGGTTTGTTGTTGTTGTTGTTGTTGTTGTCGTCGTCGTCGTCGTCGTCGTCGCCAACCGGAGCAAAACAAAACATACGGCTGTAGAGGAACCAAAAACATACAACACCAGGTATTCGCTAGTCGTCACTGACCTAACTACTAATCTGGCCCTTACACTCTTTCTTTTTAGATCAGAAACGACCACTAAGTGCTGTTTTTAGTAACCAAAAACGGCAGCCTCTAAATAGTCCCTGCTTTAGAAGGAAAAACTGCCGTGGCCTGGGAATGGGCATGTGATCATTCCAGTGCAAGCCGTACTATTGCAGAGAAACCTAGTGTCAAATAAACATATCAATATTCTGAATCGGTCGCTTGTTTTTTTGGGTAGATGTAATCACGCACGCAGTCACTGTTTGCCAGCGAAGCGCCCTGACAAAACCCGCAATAGTCCTCACGACACTATACGTCACCAAAAGTCCCGTTTGAAAGTGAGGTGTGCGTATTTTACTAAAATACTATCTTCTGTCTAACCTCCCCAGAATCATGTGCAAGGCGCCACTTATGCGACGAATCGCTTTCCGTTGCAGGTGGGAGCACAGAAAGTGTCTATCAACCGCAGTGGTCAGTACTTGTTTAAATAATAATTGCGGAAGTTGACTTACTGCACTCGGCCTCACTGGGCTTGGGGCAAGTCCTCTGGCAATCCTCGCAGGCTCCAGCCATGACAGAGGCGGCGTAGGTAGCAAGAACAACGAAGGTGATCTGGAAACGCATTTTGATGTATGTTGTAAACTTTCAACGTTTGTGTTGTGATGTAGGTTATGAGATAGAGTTGTGCGATTGGCCCGGTGGGATGTTGCAATGATGATGGGATGAGATGGTGTGATGACAGGACAGAAATATTGAGACGAACGCAATTCTTTTCACGTCCTTTATACTCACATTTTCATACAAAGGCACTGTCTATGTTAATAGGCATGGAGTCCAACAGTATCAGCAGAACTGGGGTAACGCTTGACTCCTGTTTCAAAATATCACCGTTGTACTGACAAAGTACAATAAAAGTGGAGGCACCCCCTTCTTGTTTATACTCTAGCAACTGCTATATACCTTAGCACTTTGACACACCCCCTAGACCTAAGAGCGCTTAAGACTTAGGCCTATTTTTATGCTAAGGGATATACTGACTAATGCTCCTATCCTTAACCTAGATAAGCTATAGACTAGGTCTAGTAAGGCTATTAGACTTTTTATATATGTGCTCTCAGGGTGGGATTTGAACACTAGGCCTCTAGGTTATAGTAGTCTGGAGTGGGGTGTTGGCCTACTAGCGCAAATTAGACTGTTAATTGACAAAGTATATTAAAAGTAGAGGCACCCCCTTCTTGTTTGTACTTTAGTGACTGCTATATACCTTAGCACTTTAACATGTACAGAGTATAACTTAAATCCCCTAGTTATGCACTACCTCTACTTCTCTACCACTTAGAAAGGTAAAAACAGTGTATTCCTACTAGAATATAGTATGTTTTCTAAGCTTAATAATCTACTATTGCTAGGCTCTAAAAATAAGGAAAATTTCCTATAAAACACTTTAGTAGTAAATATAATATAAAAATTAGGTAGGGTTGAGTTATTTTGCAAGTTCTGTTTTACGAAGATGTCGCTGCGGCGCCTGGAAAAGCGTTCGGTGTGGAATAGGTGCTGACTCGCCTCCTTGAATCCGGCTGCCGGGTCCAAAGCTACGCCACGGAGCTCACCGACAGTGGCCAATATGCCAAGCACCACGATAGCCTTATGTATAACACTTTTGTGTTTGAAGGGCGATCAAACGATGCTTTACCGAGATGTTGATGCCTACAACTGAAATGTTTCTGTACACCTTCTAGAATGTTCGAACATGGGATGAAAGATTATATGTACCTCATGTCGTGTTGCGACGACCTATTCGCTGTGCCAAAAGGCGTATTTCCATTCCATTCCCCTAAATAACACAGCACGGCAGCACATAGAACGCCATTAATATTCTCTCTCCTTACTACGGGCGCTTGTGAACTAAACGAATGAACAAAGGGCCCCGCCTGAATCTGTGAATTTAAAGTTTAAAGGCTAACTTAGAGGCGTTACGTCCTGCGCGGTCCCTATTTATCCGCAACATTTCATATGCTTTCGGACATGCTTTCGGACATACTACCTTAAAATATATTAATGGATGGTTTGTTTGTTTAAGGGTACAGGTAGAATGCCAGAGCAATTTGGTCGGCGGCCAGTGGGTTAAGCCTATTTCGGAGTATATTATGTCAGCGCCAGCAAAAACAATATTCCGACTTAACTGACCAATGACAAGGCCAGGATTCAGAAAGTTACATAAAGTTAAAAACTCCTCAGATTTAAGCGATTTAAAGTCAAGGCAAAAAAGAGGCAACAGCTACAATTAATTTAAAAATCTACTATATTATATAACCTATTTAATAAAAGAGTAATATCTTTATTATAATAGTAAGTTTATATATGTTGCTAGTACTTTTTAAAGGTTAGATATAAGGGCTTAATCTTAGGTAACGTAGGCGTCTGTTAGCGTTAAGCGATAGTGGATTTACGGCAAAAAGGGCGGTGGTTGTAGTGGCGGTAGAAGTGGCGGTAGTGGCAGTGCCTTCTAAATAGGGTTAGTCTCTGGCCGCCGACCAAATTGCTCTGGCATTCTACCTGTACCCTTGTTTAAGGGGACAGTTCCGACACTTCCGTGTGCACGATTAATGAATCCGGCATGCTGATTTTCGGCCAGAATCGGCCAACCAAGTGGAACCTGACGTCGTTGAGTTGCATCTACATTTCCATAATTGGCGCCACCTCTCGTAAAATGTTGTTCCAAAAGTGATGTGACACGAGCAAAATAACTTAACCTCTATCCTCACGGTATTTCCGGATGTGTGTTACGGTCAGTAATCCGACAGTAGGGTTTCCGCTAATAGTATAGCTGAGGTCGATACTCGGTAACAGTAATGTAGGCTTGTTGGTCTGTTGATCACTCGGTGATCAGTCGGGTGGTCAATAGTCGTAAGGATAGCTCGTATACCGTATCCTCTCATCAAATGTAAAATCCGCACGGGCCACACGCTAGTCATATTATAACAGGCGGTCAACCTACCTACACACACCCACCCATGTAACCCTAACCCTTGCCACCTAGCCTGCTGCTGACGTAAATGAATCCCTGCATTTGCCACATCTAGATGCCTGTTTCTGCCAGCCCGCTTACCCCTTTCCAGCAGCCCGTGGCCCGTGCGGATTTTACATTTGATGAGAGGATACGGTAGCTTTTTGTCAATGAATCACTAAGTTGGATACTGAAAGGTATTCAGAGAATGTATCACAAGTTGATTGCTGAAGAGCTATGGAAGTCTGTCCTTGAGTGCGTCTAAGTCCATCCTATATACGAGTCCCGTTCCTTCTGTCCTTGATCGCGAACTTCAACCTCGCTGGTTCTGATCACTTTGCTTGCCCCATTGAGCGCTCAGTGGATGCCACTGATCGCTCAGTGGGTCTTGGTGATCGCTCGGTGGACCTTGCGGAGTGATCACCTTATCTTATCGTCACGTGACTCGTATCCTAGTTCTTCCTTTCCGGGGAGTCATTCTTCCTGTTGGTTCGTACAAAGGTCGTGTTGCCTGCTCGTTGTCTTGCCTGGTGGGGCAACATCGCCTGTAACTTGTTGGGTCGTAACAATACTAACCCTACTTGCTAAATACTTAATACTACAAAGACTACTTACTTAACGGGGCCAAAGGTCCAATAGCACGTCAGTTCCTCAAGCCCTTGCCTTAAATCCTCCCTACCTATAAAGAGCCAATCCGTCGACATTTTCAGACTCCTGCGCCACACAGCTTATTGGTCGAAGGTTCCAAGTGCTAGTAGATACTTGCTATAAGCAGGCCCAACGGCCTCGAAGCTAGAGACAATAAAATAATTGCTCCCTAAATAACCGTCTCTCTTCTCTCTCTCCTTGTCTTATGAGGTCAGCGTTGAATCTTTTGGGGTCGAGTTGCCTTTCCTTACCACCGCAACTACAGAAAACCATTGATCATAAGCTACGGCGACAAGAAGCCCGATTCCTTCCACCTCCGAATAAACAAACGCGTCAAATCTTGGCCAAAGGGCCCAACTTGACGCATCGTGGGCGAGTGCTCCCGCGAACGGCTTGTCTCAAGCAACAGGCCGCCACACGAGATGTGCACGAAGTTAGCCTCGAGGAAGTCAACGAGCACATACGCCGGGTTCCCGGCTCGCGGCCCGACCTCGCGCACCCGCCGCACCCACTCGGCAAACGGAACCGCACACTCGCCGCCGTTATCATCCAACCCAAGCTCCCTTGCCAGCACAGCAATCATGTCCGCCCAGGGCTGCCTCACGGGGTTATCCACATGATACACTGCATAGGGCCGCGCCGCTACGACGAGCAAGTCTGCCAACGCGCCCGCTACGTCTTCCACCGGGGTCCACGTCAGCACGCCGCCCAGCCGTGGCAGCACCCCGAGCGTTTGCGACGACTTGATGATGAACGAGACGTGCTCGCCCGCGTTCCAGTAGCCGCTCACGCGCGACGCCGCGATCTGGCCCAGGCGCACCACCATCGCCCGGAACATACCGTCCCCGGCGGGCCACCGGTGCAGCGTCGCGTCCATCATCAGCTCGCACGCCCACTTGGCCTCGGCGTACCCGGCCGCCAGCACGCTCTCGATACCGCGCACGCGCTCCTCGGGTACCGCGCCCGCGGGCGCGAGGCCAACCACCGCCACCGATGACACGAACTGGAAGGTGATTGCATGTGGCGTCGTCGTCGTCGTCGTCGGGGGCTGGCGCAGCGCCGCATCGCGCGCGAGGTCGAGCATGTGGCGCATGATGCGCAGCTGCGGCTCGAAGTGGCTGATGTCCCGCCCCAGGCTCATGAGCCAGCAGTTGTGTACAATCTCGCCGACGCTGCGGGTTAGATCGAGGTATGCCGCGGGGTCGAGGCCCAGCGCGGGCTGCGAAAGATCCGTCTCGAGGACGTCGAGCTTTGCTCTCGCGGCAGAATAGCGTGCGTGGCCAAGGTCTATGCCAGTCTTGGTGAGGATGGCTCGAAGCTGGCGGGCAGTGGCATCGCTGTTGTTGTTGGGCTTGCGGCGGTTGAGGCAGACAACACGGGCAACGCTGGGATCTGTGGCCAGTTTCGCTACGAGATGCGCGCCGAGGCCGCCTGTGCCTCCTGTCACGACCACTACGCGGTCTTGAGTTCTCGTGGCTCTAGGTGCGGTGGTTGTGCCATCAGCGGCGGCAGCGATTTCTAAAGGGGCGGCCCAGCCTTGGGTCATGGTGCGGACGTACTCCATCACCACAGCCTCGCGGGCCTTTAGTTGTCAAGGAGACTGGACACCCCCCTTCCGTTGGCCTCGTCGCTCTTCTTCTCCGACTGATGACGGGGGTGAAGTCGGCGTGGGAAGGTCCGGCTCGGACCCGGCGGTTGGACTACTCCATTTGGTATTATCCGCATCGGCCGCCAAGACCGACGACACTGGGGTGGACGACGCCGTGTTTCCACGTGCCAGCACGCCTGGATTTTGTGTTTCGACGAGCTCCCGCACATGCAGCGTCAGGTCAGCAACGGTTGCCGCCTCCAGTAGGGCGCCCTCGTTGATCCTAAGCTTGAAGGCAGTTCGGATCTCAGACGCCAGCTCCATGTTCATGAGCGAGTCGATGCCGAGGTCCGCCAGCTCGCTGTCGTCGGTAAGATTGCACGTCTCGATGCCCGAGAGCTCGACCAGAATGCTCTTGAGCTTGCCAGCAACGTCTAGCGTGTCTGCGCCTCCTGTCACCGCCAAGGGATACCTGGCATGGGAGACTCCTGACGGCGCGAGTCTCTGCCCCTTGTCTTCGATCTTCTGGTGGTTGGCGAGGTTGGAATATTGTGCTCCTGCTGCTGCTGCTTCCGTTGCTC